AACCTAATGTGAAGTCGGGATTGACGATGAAGACGACCGGTTTTTCTGGTGAAGCAGTTGATATCAAGTTCTCGATAGTCGGAAATTCCTTCCTGAAAACGTGATGAACGAATTTCATCTGACAAAACCGTTCCAACATGATGCCCCGTTCTTTTTCATTTTCCTGAATTATAGTGTAGTTCGCTGCGGACGGTTGGGCGTGTCAGTGCGGCTGCGTTTGGCGCGGTGCCAAACTCGTTCTACACCAGTTGTTGAAGCGGGCAAGTGACAATACTGTATCATATCCTTCGTATTACTAATCTTCTACCACTTTTTGTAATGTAACGTCGACCTCTGCCGATAGAAATACACACGGCATTTAGGGGCGAATGGTGGAAATTGCGGACTTACTGGCACGTAGCACGACTTCGTAGGATTTCGTTTAGGCGCTAATGCAGTTGGGGGAGGGGTGGAGGACCCTCGCCAGCGCCTCTCTATTCCTTCCTTCGGCGACGCTTGTCGTCTGGCTCTAAGCCTAGGCTCTTCAAGAAGGGACACCGCGCAGAGTGGATTCTCACACCTCGCGGTTACGTGACATTCAACTATTTGCGCGCGATCCTGTTGCGAGATTATGTAATGCAGACAGATAGATGACAGCTATTGCCAAAGCATCGAAAGATGCAGGAAGCATGCGAGTCAGGATATGGCTTTTTTGGGTGAGGGGACCCCAGGGTAGGTTGGCCACTCATCACTTGTGAAAAGGTAGAATGCGTGGGGGCACAATAACTATGAAAGCCGTACGGATGAGGAGTGCAGAGAAAAACAGAATACCGACACGTTGAAAGGGAATGGGCTCAAGTTGACCTACCCCCACCTCCCCGACTATGTTAGAGCCTTTCGTTTTATTGCTGAGTGTAATTCTATTCAGGTACAAACACCAGTGCTAAAGACTTTTTTCAGGATAGTCGCCACGCGTACCATAAAGTCCGAAAGTAACTACGACACATCTCGAAAACCCAACCAAAAAGCTCCAAATTTGGCGAATTATATGATTTCTACGAGAGTATAGTGGATCTACGAGACTTTTAACGCGTTCGAAACAAAGCAGTGTGCATGTCTCCAATAGAAAAAAGGTTGAGAAATTAAAGGAGAGCGGGTCAGAGAGAACCTGTTCTGTGTTGAAGCCCTTTTCTAGCAAACGAAAACTGCAACAGTGAAGAGGCCACATGTTAAGGAAAACCCGTTACTCTTCGAAAAAATCAAGTGAAAATCCGGGAAGAAGCTAGTAGTTTACGATTGCTACAGCCAGCTATGATTTCCCCGTGAAAATAAAACTGAGTAATAAAAACTGAGAGTATTGAAAAATCATGTTTCAAAAGTTACTCACGTAATTTGCTGCTCACTGGAGAATACAACACCATCGAAGGCTGTTGCTGATGATACGGCTATTAACACCGTAAGAAGTACCCGCATCCTGAAGACAACAAGTTAGAAAATAAAAAGAAGCAGTGCCTTGAACGACCACGACAGGATAAATGTTGAATAATAAAGCTCTTCATTACAGGATGCTGCAATTTACAACCTTAGTCGAACGAAGAACAAAAAATAAACACCACAGAGAAGCAAGAATGGAATCATGTGAATAAAAATTATCGCAAGACTAACTAAGAGCAGGATTTTGTATCTCAGGTTGGTTCTAAGCATATTATCTAGCGTATAATCAGAGTCATTGTAGTCCCAGTAACTT